ATTGGCTATACTCAACCTGCAAGTGCCAGCATCCCATATGGGTGCCAGTTCATGTCCCTGCTGTTCCATTTCCCATCCAGCTCCCTGCTTGTGGCCTGGGAAAGCAGTTGAAGCCCAAAGTCTTGGGCCACTGTGTCCCGACCTGCAGGACACGACACTCAAACCCTGAGGGTGGCTGGGAATGCGGGGCTGCTAGCCCCTGGGCTGGTGGTCCAAGAAACACATGGAAACGTACTTGGTGGAAAAGAGTGCCTCATGCTCTTTATTTTACGCCTTACATATATACCTTCTCTAGGGGAGGAGGAGAAGGGGAGGGGTTTCCTTGAAGTAATTATCTTCATTGAAGCAGGGAAGGAACTAATCATCTATATTGAAACAAGGGAGGAACTAATCATCTGAACAGGGACAAGGGTGGAGCTTCTATTCCATTTGCTTTACCCAGGATGTTCTGGCCTAATATCCTGCTTGCTGTGGCCCTGCTTGCCCAAGGCAGGCTTTGCAATGCAGCAGGCTGTCAGGTAGCCCAAGTCTAAGGCCCATAAGTCTGTGGCTCCTAACACCACTGTACCCACATAGGAGACCTGGTGGAAGAAGCTCCTGGCTTTCAGATAGGCTCAGCTCTGACCATTTTAAATATTTGGGGAGTGAACCAGTGTATGGAAGGTTTATCTGCTTCTCCTTCTCACTGTAAATCTACCTTTTCATAAAAATAAATAAATCTGCTTTTTAGCATTCTAGTAAAAATGATAGATGTGATTAGTGCTCTGAGCTCACTGATGACATTTGGAATCATCATTGGACCTGTATGTGTTGATGTGCGGGTGCCCAGCCCTTGGCCCTGCACAAGGATACAAGGGTGGACATCTCATGCGGGACACAGCTTGTGGGTTTTTGGCCATGACTCTGTAGCCAGCTCTGGCCTTGAGCAGACCATGTAACTTAACAGCCAGCCCTCCTAAGGAAGGGATGGAATGCACACTCTGGGAAAGATGATCCACACTTAACATTTCATGAATTATTCATTTCTGCAGCCTTGTCTTCTGGTGCTGAAAGCAGACTGCATGTGCTGGGTCCAGATGAGGTGGTAGGCAGAATCATGGGCTTGGAGGACTGGCACTGTTTCTGATGTGGACAGTCTCCTGCTTTTTCTCAATCTGTCCCTGGTCCTTCCTTGAAGCACTGCTTCCTCCTTGCCCCATGTGTCCCATGTGCCCAGCCCCCAGCCCTTCAGCAGCTTGGGATTTGAGTGCTTCTAAATGTGGGACTCTTGACTATCTCCTGTGGCCTTGCCAGATCCCTGTGTTAGGGTCATTAAAAAGTACCTCTGCTAGTTTAGGGAAATGAATTCCTTTTCACACCAACTTCTGAACATGATCTTTACTAGAACTAAGCTAATGTGTTACAGAGAGACAAACCCTCCTTTTTGCCACCTCCTGTCTCCGTGTGCTTCTCCTTCAGGGTGGAACTATATGTGCCTGTGCCCTCCACCTCATAGCCTACACAGAGCAAGGACACAGGAGTGTGAGCAAGGAGCAGCTAGCAAGGTCCACATTAAGCTAGGCTCAGTGGAATCATCTCAGATATAATAAAAGTCGGCCTTTTAGGTGACCAGGTATATGGGGCTTGGATGAACGAGTCCGTGTGGGCTGTAGAGTGACAGTTGGGAGGGAAGCTGCATCCTAAGATATTCGTAGGCAGAGAGGAAAGCCATGCTGGCATTCTGAGCTCCAGGCGGAATAGGTTTAGCAAGGAGCACAAAAGGAACCTTGATTGTGTCTCTGAAGTTTTATTTCTGTTTTCAAAATTATGTGGTGAGTGTTTGCTGCAATAGTTAAGACATCATTTAGGCCCACATCCCCTGTTAGGGGTTGAGTTGCCTTTGTTTCTGATTCCAGCTTTCTGCTAATGTGCATCCTGAAGGGAGCTGCTGGCTCCCTGCCCAAAGCTGGCCCAGCGCCTGATGCTGAGGGCATTTGGGAAGTGAACCAGTGGGTGAAAGATCTTGATCATCACTTCTCTGCCTTTCGAAGAAGTGAAAAGTAAATAAGCTTTTAAAACATAAAGGAAATAGGGCAGTGTTGTTTGTGCTGAGTTTAGGCAGTTGCTGTCTATCTAAAGGGCTTCCCAATCCTTATGTTCTGCTTTCCTGTATGTCTGACATGTTTTTCATTGCAAAAAGGAAAATAAACTGGTTTAAAACTGAGCAATTCAAACGACAAAGGAAAGAACTCAGAAGCAGTAGGCTGAAGTTTCTTCCTCGTTAGGGGCTTACTTTCTTTAGGCACGATGTTGTACAATGTAAGAGGCAATTGATGTAAATAAGTAATACAGTTCAGTCACTATCATGATGAACAAGTTCTGGAATACCACACAAGAAATACGAGTAACCTGTGGAGACAGTTCACACATCAGTGCAACATCTACATAAAAACTAAATGTGAGTTTATTTTCTGAGCAAGGAGCTTTTTTTTTTTAACATATTATTATTATTATTATTATTATCATTTTATGATACAATTCCATAGGCTCCTGGCATTTCCTTTATCCCCTCCTCAATTCCCTCCCCCCACCTAGTTTCTCTATATCATTACTGAAATATAGTTCTTCATACTCAGTCATATGTCCATCATTGCGGGCATGGACAATGGCAGAGAGTCCAGCATCCTATTGTCAAGATATAGTGAACAGTTTCATTGTAAGTCCATCTTTGTCTGGCAGTAGAAATGCATATAACATTGTATCCTCAAACCTGGATGTTAGTCTCCATTTCACAGCTACTGTACATCCACTCAAATGAGAAGTCATAATACAAAATCAACAATAGAAAGAAAAATAGAAATTTACAATGCCATGAAGTTAAATCACTTGTTACTAGATATTACAGTCTCCATTACACAGCTACTATACATCCCCTTAAATGAAAAGCCACACAATAAAATCAACATCAGGGAGAAAAAAGAAATTAACAACACCATGAAGTTAAATAACATGCTACTAAATGATTAACGTATAGCTGAGGAAGTGAAAATCAAGAACCTGCTTGAAGAAAATGATGCTACTGTATGATCTACGAGTCATTGAATGATTTAATCAGAAGAAAGTATTTTGAAGAAATGAAACTAACAGAAAACAACAAAACCCATGTGATACAGTTTCTGCTGATTTTTGTTGGTGAAGTGTGTCTATTCTAGACAATAAATAGATGGGTTTTGTTTTTATTTTTTTTTATTTTATTTTTTTTTTCTGTTTTAAAACAATCGCTTGAATTTATTTAACAAGGGAGACTACTGCATAAAAAGAGAAGGGAAAAAAGCCACTATTTCATACTTAGTAAGTCTCACAGACAGCTGAGAGTTGAGGCCGCATATTGAGTCAGAGACATCAGAGAAGCTGCATTATCCCTTGAAAGATGGAACTCCAACCAGCACCACATTTTTTCCAATTCAAATTCAGTTTTTATTAGAGATCCCAGAACAATAATTAGAAAAAGAGAGACTGGGCTGCTGCCCTTTTCTTTAAATTTTCCATTCCTATTTTGAAAAAAGTGACTAGAGGCAATGACAAAAATAACCATTTAAAAGGGATTCCTTTCCAGAATTTTTTTTCAGGGGGTGGGTCAAGCTTTAAGTTCAGGCTTTCCAATCTTTTTCATTTTAAAAAGAAAGCATCTTGGGAACATGTCAACTTTCACTCGGCATGCTATACAAAGCGTCTGCCTTCTCAAGCACTAGACGTAACACCAGGACTCATCTCCTCAGCTTCTGGTCTTAATCAAGTCCATGCTTGACTGCTAAAGGAGCTTGTGTTAATCCCAAGGTCAGGCACAAGGCTAACCTTCAGCAGTAGACTGCTGATTGCGTCACTTACGACACACACCAGGCTGAGGCGACAGGGGCAGGTCAGACATGGCTTGTCTGCTGTGGGTGAGTCACATCACCAAGCCCAGCCTGGGTTCCTTCCCTCAGTGCTCACGGTGCGAGATCACCTCTACAGCAGCTCAATGCACAGCGCTCAGCACCAGGCCTGCTGAGACAGAAGTTGCCTGACAATTATCATCGGAACGGGAGGCTTTCCAGGATAACAGAGGAAAATGTTTCATTCCATGCTTAGACTCTGCCACAACTTAGTAGCTTTCTCCATCTCTTCTTGGGGAGCCTGTACTTGCAAACAGTTTTCAGTAGATGAAAATACAGAGGGGTGACATTTGTGTACAAACATGTGTCCTATGTTCCTCACTGATTTTATGGGAAGCTGCCCTTTCTCAACATTTCATTTCCCGGAGAGGGAGACATTGAGCACAGCACCTTGTTTGCTCTCTGGAGGAAGGGTTTTCTCTGTAAACTCAGTGAAGGGTCTCCCTCTCTAGGTGTGGGCAGTGAGAGGGTGTGGGGAGCAACAAGCCACATAGAGCAGGGTTGGGGCATGGCCTGGGCCGGCAACAGGTCAGCTCCCCTAAGTTCTTCGCTTCTGGTGGAGTCCAATCCATCAACAAACTGCCACTTGCTCTTCCTAACCTCTGACTATAAGTCAAGTTTCAGAAAGCTTTCACCAATCAGGTGGCACACAAGCCTTGTGTTGGTGTGCAGCCAGGCATGAGTGTGCTGTCTCATGCAAAAAGACAATCACAGGGAGATTTCTGTTTGTCTTTAGTTCAAGAACAAAAAGATAAACAGCTTCATGGGGATAAGAGCCAGAAGTGTTGTCATGGGAAGCGGAGCAGGGAATGGTAGACACATCCAGCAGAACTGAGGATAAAAGCACTCAAGTTCACAGAACACAAGGAATAAGGAAGCACACATTCCGAGCCATGGCCAGGTCAGGGCACAGGATGAGAGGGACAGCAGACTCATCACCAACGCGCTTCAGTGGTGATTCTGAAACCTGCTCCAATTCAGTTGTGAAGTGAATTTTTCATCTTGCAGATCAAAGTTGTGCTCATGTCATTGAAAGTAACAGCTTTTTAAATCTTCTGCATCCTGCTTACTGTAGGTGATTTCCTTTTGGTTAAAAACCAGAAATAGTATACACCTCACAGGATGGAAATATAGTCTTGATATAAGTGAGGCGAGGAGCTGGCTGAACTTACACAGTAAGTGAAAGTCAGTACTTCTTGGTCTCTTCCCTTGACCACTCCAAATCTCTGGCCTCCCAGAAATGGCAGTTTATTTCCTCTGGAAGAAGCCAGTGATGGACACTTGTCTGTTGGCTTTGCCCAGAGAAGCAGTCCCTTTCTTGGGGCCCTTTCGTTCCTCTTTGGGTTCCTTTTTCAAAGCCACGGCAGGGGGTCTGTGTAGAGAGGCTGTCTTCACCTTCAGCTCCTCTTCACTATCTGTGCAGGACTCACTCTCGTAGATCTTCTCGGTCACCATGCAGCCTTCTACATCCACAAAGGTCTTCGATTTCAGAACACGCCTTCGTTTTCTTCTGTTTTCTCCTCTTGAGTTCTTGATGGAAGGAGGCTCAGGTTCAGTCTTTGGCACTGGCTCAGGAGGTGGAGACACAGGTGGAGGTGGGGGTGACGGTTCAGCTTCATATGCCCCAGGAGAGTCTAGGCAGACTTCATCTTCACTGCTATCAGAATCAGGAAGCTTGATTCTTCTCCTCTTCTTCTTCATATTCTCAGTTTCCTTCGTCTCATCGTCAGATAACTCTACTCGCTTCCCCCTTTTTTTTTCCTTCTGCTGCATCTTAACAAGCTCTGCTTTTCTGCTGGGATTCTTCAGGCCTACAGGAGCTGCCAGCTTCGGTTCAGGGACACACACAGGAGATTGCTCTGCTGTTTTTTCTTCTTTCACTGTTTGTTCTGAATCCAAATTCACTTTATTCATTGCAGCTTTTCCAAAAAAGTTACTCAGCACATTGCCTTTCCCGGGTGCCTTGTTGCCTGTGGAAGATGCATTTGTTATGTCTTTAGCCTCTGTTTTGGTTTCCTTGTTGGCATCTTGGGCTTTAATAGCAGCTTTAGCAGCAAACATTCCCATAATTCCTTTGGGTTGCTGGGTAACCGGTTTGGAGGTAGGTGGGCCCTGACCATTGGCAGTTGGTTCATTATTCACTTGTGGTTCACTTGATACCTGAAGATTCGATTGTTCTAACTTTTTGGAAGATGAGGATTCTGCAGGAGGTCTGGGGACAGCAGCTGCACATTGTATGGCACTAAACTTGCTGCAGTTCTGCAAGTTGCTTTTAAGGATGTCATAGTCAGTATTGAACAGAGGCCCACTGTCCTTTAGCATGGCTTTCTGGATGCTGTACACATGGATGCTGGCAGTCACGGCTAGCTTGGACTTCACTGCTTCCAATTTGTCTTCTCTCACTACTGCAACCTTGTGGCAAGACTGTCCATTCTGGATGAGACTGCCAGATACCAAGTAGGTGACATGCAGTTGGGCTCCTGAATTTTCTTTTCGTTTTCTTTCAACATAATCATACAGCATCTGTTTGGCCTGGTTAACATGAACCCCCAGTGTATAGCTCAGCCACTTGTACGTCACGATTTTGTTCTGGTCCGTGACGAACTCGTCTATGTTTTCCAGATAAAGCTGGTCCGCCATGGTGCTGCGGCAACGGACCCCGCCGACGCTGGGTGCCCCCTTGGCTCAGTCACAGCCGCAGCTCCCGCCGGCGGGAAAACCTGGGTTTTGTTTTTAAATCCAGTTTACTAATCTATGACATTTGATTTAGCTTAAGCCATTTACATTCAGGGTTAATATGTATGGGTGGTATTTTGGTCCTGTCATTTTAGGAATGGGTTGTTCATTGGTTTAGTCTTCTGTTGTCATTTTACTGGGATGTTCTTCCCGTTTGCCTTTGGTTTTGGTAGGTGCTATTCCTCTTCTTTGTCAAGAGAACATCTTGAAGTATCATTTGTAGGGCAGGTTTGGAAGAGGCAAATTCTTTTAACTTTTCTTGACTGTGGAAGAATTGTATTTCATTTTCAAAGACAAAAGAAAGCTTTGCTGGATATGTTATCCTGGTCTGACAATTTTTTTCTTTTAGAATCTGGAATATGTCGCTTCATTCTCTTCTTGCCTGTAGAGTTTCCTTTGAGAGATCCCCTGTGAGTTTAATTGGCCTTCCTTTATATGTCAATTGATTTTTTTCACGTGCACATTTAAGGATCTTTTCCTTATGTTCAATTGAAGAGAGCTTGATGATCATGTGTCTTGGTGAAGATCGTTTTTGATAAAGCCTGTTGGGAGTTCTGTGCCCCTCCTAGATCTTGTTTCCCAATTCTTTCTCTAGATTAGGGAAATTTTCCTTGATTATTTCATTAAATACATTTGCAAACTCAACTTCTCTTTCTGCACCTTCTGGGACTCCCATAACTCTTATATTTGGCCTCTTAAGAGTCTTTCAATTCTTGAATACCTTTTTTGGCCTGATCCAGCTCTGCTTCCAGCTTTTTTGTTTGTTTCCCCCTGATGACAGGATATATTTTCCAGTTCTGAGATTCTTTCCTCTGCTTGCTTCATTCTATTTTGGAGACTCTCCATTCTACTTTTAATTTGCTCTACTGTGTTCTTAATTTCTGATATATCAGCCTTGATGGTTGCTTTATTGCTTCTTTAAATTCTTTGAACTCTTGTATGTGCTTCTCATTGTTGATCAGAAGCTTTAAAATGAGTTTTATGAATTCTGTGTGCCCCATTTTATCGATGTCTTCCTCAGTTAACTCTGAGGGTGGCATAGGGTTTTGCTCCTTTGTAGGGGAGTTTTCAGTAATATTCATTGTGCCTTTGTCTCTTCTTTTGCTGTTGGTCATTGTACTTCTGGTTAGCAGAGTCTTCTCCTTGGTGCAGGTTTCTAAGCTGTGTCATCCACAGGTCTACAATGCGATTTTACTTATTGCAGTTGTTACACCACTTTTTGCTTGCAGCCACTTGTGCCACAACCTCTAGCGAGTTCCAGGTCTGGGTTCTTATGTTAGATTTCCACCATGGTCTCCATACCCCCAGCTCCTGGCTCATCACTCTTTACCTCCTGTGATACCGTGCTGAGGCTGCACTGTTGTCTCTGCAAGCTTTCTCCCACTTCCGGTTGGAGCAGGTCCCAGGATTAGAGAGACAGCAGGTGTTCTATATAGTTAGGTTGTTGGTGGCGCTGATCTTGTCGGGACCTGTTGGACGTTAGGTCTGGGTGCCACACAGACCTATTTTGACCTGTATGATGCCACAGTCGGTATTATTTTCCTGCGGGACCAGTGCAATACATGAAGCTCAGTGAGTTCTCTTGAGCTCAGCACATGCGCAGTTCACTGTTGTCCCCTGCAGTCTGAAAGCTATTGCCACAGTGTACAAAATGGTGCCAAACATACCACTACTAGAGTTCTTGATCTGCTGGCCGTCAGGTCTTAGGGCCACCCAGACCTGTCTTGGGTGGAACCTGTAGAATGCTACGTTGCTACAGTTCACTGAGTCAGAAATGAGTTCACTCCCAGCTCAGCACAAGCTCAGTCCTTTGCCTCCTTATGCAAAATGGTGCCCAATACAGCTCTAGGGGACTTACCGGGCTGTGAAATCCACCCTGTTCTCGCACTGTCCATCTGGGATCTGCTGCTCTGTCTCTGCTCCTGGTCAAAGCAAATGAACCAGCAAGACGGACAGCTCTTTGTCTGGGCTCACCTCCTAAGCTCCCAATGAAAGTCCCTTCCCACCTGGTTGCTGGTGGAGTTCCAACTGCTGGTGGAGTTCAGATCGTTGTTTGCTGAATGCCACTGGAGTATCAGTCACTGCAACACCACACTGTTGTGTCCGTTGCTTTCCTGTGTCTGTCAGTCTCCAGGTACCCCTCTGCTGTTGTTCTGTCCTTTCTTATTTCCTGGAATATGTCCTCTCTGCCTCATCCTGATTAAATGTTTTTCTGTCTGTTTAAATGTGTCCTTACCCTATTCCGCCATCTTGATTCTCCCTTAGCAAGGAGGTTTAATGGATGTCTTTAGATTCCTTAAAAATATACTGTGAAGACTATTATGATGCAATTGTCTTTTCCAAAGTTGACAGCCATAATACTAAGATTCAGTGTGCCACTTAGAGATGGCAGAAGGAAATCATAAATGAAAAAGCCACATGGTTAGTTTAGGAAATCTATGTAGGACTGCCCTCCTTGATTCTTCACCAGATAGAGTTGCTTCTGCACCCGATGTGACAGAGACTGTCCCACACAAGCAGAAGTCAGTGAGAGTACCTAGGCCAGGGAGAAGGAACAACTTCTTTTCCAGATTAATTAGTCAATGCAGCATTTTCCTGTTTTGTTTTTTTTTTTTTTTGTCCTTTACCAAGATTTTTTTTCTTATTTTAAAGATTTATTTGTATCAGAAAGGCAGATTTAGAGACATAGAGCTTCCATCCGCTGACTCACTCCCCAAGTGATCACAACGGCCAGAGCCGAGTTGATCTGAAACCAGGTGGCAGGAGCTTCTTCTGGGTCTCCCATACAGGTGTGTGGTCCCAAGGCTTTGGGTGGTCCTCTACTGCTTTCCCAGGCCACAAGCAGGGAGCTGGGTGGGAAGTGGAGCAGCTGGGGCACGAATCAGTACCCAATATGGGATGCTGACACTTGGTAGTACAGGATTAGCCAATTGAGCTTTTATGCCAGCCCCCTCCCAAGATTATTAACAGTGGAATATTCACTTGCTTTGGGGGAAACCTTATTCTGTCAGCCAATGTGGACAACCATCTCAGAATATATTTACTCAGAGTAAGATGAGCAAATGCTGGAGCAGAGAGGTTTTTTTAGTGATCAGTGAGAGAAAAGAACTCAGGAAAACTGGTTTCACAGAATGTAAAAGAGAATGGATAGAATTAAGTTTCAAGCACTACTGGCTCATTAATAAACAGACTGTACCAACAGAAGTGATGGCAGGGCGAATAGTGCTGCAGGGCACGAGCGAGATCACACCAGACATGTCTAAGGTTTATTAAAGAATTTTTATTAACCAGGCTTGGTGATAATAGAGCACAACAGCAAACCACAAGTCCATACGGCAAGCCACCCAATCATAATCCAACCAATCATAATCCCAAAAGGAGCAAATGGTCATTATCCTTAAGTCCATCCATTAAGCTGAAGACCTGTGTCCCAGCTTCCCCAACAGTATAAGTCATCCTAAGAGACATGCAATGAATAACCTGGACACACTTCCAAAGCTGCAGACATTCACCTTTCCCTGGCTTCTCTGCCCACATTCCATCAGGCCTCACCCCCACTGGAACTCCTGACAGGACACAATCCAGAAACAACATTATTATAACCATTGCCCCATCTAAGCAGTACACAGGGACCATGCTCAGGGGATTACCTGTCCTGGGTCAGCCAAGAGTCGAGGTGTCAGAGTGATGGAAGCACCTGACCAGAAAGAGTGAGAGTCCCTGCTTCATGGGCCTTTTAAAGGGGCTTGTGAGGGGAGTGGTTACACGACAATGCAATACCGTCCCCTCTCATCTGATAGGTGAGTCACAGGTGGGCAGGAGCAAATACCTGGGCTAAGTGTTGTGGGCTAAGGAGTTGATCAGAGCTCGTTCAAATGGGCAGGAACAGGAACTGGGCTTGTGGCTAAAAATGCCTAGGCTAATTGGACTAGTCTGCATCTAGTATCCTGGCTAAATTAGGATGTTGGGAAAGTGGTTGAGGATGGAATTATCATTTCATTGGTGTTAGGACCCACCTTTAGGACAGAGGGCAGGGGCAGCCACATTTCATTTGCCCACTGTCAATGGGTGCTGGCTGTCACTGGCTGCACCCCATAACAATAAGAATTTTGTGCACTGTCTTCCCCATCTCTGTAAATCTCAAACCACTGTAAATACTACATTTACTTTCAGAAAAGCCATAAGACCCAGTATTCAAAGCAAAGAATTATAAAATTCTGACCATGAGACACCATAATAGATGTAAGATATATAGTAACATCCTTACGTTTGAAATAAGGTGGATATCAGATTTTAATTTGTAGCTGAACACAAATTAGTAAAGAAAATGTTCTCTTAAGAGAGCTATTTTTATTCCAACAAGTACATTTCAGTTTATGTAGTTAGGGTTTTAAAATGAGTCATTTTCACAGCTACAAATAACTGAGTCTTACAAATTCTAGTGTCTATATTTCAGATCTAAGGGTATAATTTCATTCATCCATCTGTTTTTTCAACAAACATTTTGAGCATATGTCATGTGCTAGGTGCAGTATTAAGTCGGTATTGAGGATCTCAGGATGAATGATATGTTGAGTGTGAAGTCTAGAGGGGGTAAGTAGGATCTCACAGCTTTACTGCGTTATGGTAAATAGATAGCAGTATGCACAGTACTCTTAAGAATGGAGTTCTGAGAATTTCATGTTCTGGTTTCCTTAATAAAAAAATTATACGCCATGCATGAAGAAAAGTGTTTTGCCCTGAACTTTACAGACATTCAAGGGAATTTCCTCTGTAAAATACCAGTGAGTACATATTTCATAAATGTTTGTATGACAGTGCTCATGGAATCTTTTAAAATGTTGGACCATAAGAATCCTCTTTCCCGGGCCTGGTGTGGTGGCCTAGTAGCTAAAGTCCTCGCCTTGAACGCCCCGGGATTCCATATGGGTGCCGGTTCTAATCCCGGCAGTTCTACTTCCCATCCAGCTCCCTGC